CTTCGGGGTCATGTAATCTCACGCAATCTGTGGCCATGTGCAAAAGAGGATAAAAGATGATACGTTACCCCGCAAATCTATCCAGGTACCAGCCCTGGAGAGCCCCGAGAGCCCCGAGAGCCCTTAGAGTCCCCTTTGGTTGGGGAAATGGAGAAATGGAGACAGTCCAAGGTTGGCACCGGCTGTTTTATCACCGGGCCGGGGACATTTGACTAAGATTTGCATCAAATTGCCATTGACCTTAGTCAAACTTGTCAAACGCATCAAACTAACCCCCCAATGGCGAAAATCCCCCGGACCGAAACAGCCACCAGTGGATCTGAATGAGGGTAGTCGATCACGATGCGATCTGGGGGGGCGCCATTTGGCCTGGAACGTTAAAAATGAGGCATTTAGTAGGCTAGAAAGTGGAAAAAAAAAAAAAAAGATCAACTCGGGGGCTTTTGATCCTAGCTGAGTGGGTTCTCCATGACACATTGCATTCCACGATGTTCGATAGAGATCACATCATTTTCGATATACATCATACTTCGACATAGTAAGACATCTCAGGTGACCAGAGTATCTCTCTATTTTCAATTCAACAGTCTTTTTCAGGTCACCTGCTTCCGTCTTTTTGCCCCTGTTCCTGTACGCCTCAGCCACGTTCCAGGCTTTGAGGCAATTCTTTTTTTTTTTTTTTTTTTCTCTTCATATCGGCCCGCATGACGCAGCGGGATTTTTTCCTTCGGCCTGAGAGCTCGGAAGGAGGGGAGGTGAGCTCCAATCAGCGTGCAATGCATCGCCGGCTCTTAGTCAAAAGTGGACAGAGAATGACCGTTTTGGGAGGACTAAGGTGGAACTGCGGACCTCAATGGACTTCGAGACTCTCTATACGGTTGACCTCGCGCCTACCATCGGTTATAACTGGTCAAGGGTGTTGCGGGATATATGTAATAATAATAAAACCAAGATATTAATAGAGATTGAAGACAGTTACTAAAAAGTTGAGAATCAAGATTTGTATATAAAGTCCAGGGTTCCCCGGATTTTCTAATTCCAAAAAACCATTCCCTTTTCTTATCACCTTCAGTCCATGGCGACAATCGGTGATCATTGTATCTCCCAGTAAGTCTTCTTGTCTCTTCTCCTTGCTTGTTATCTCGACTTCCCAGTTGAGATAACAACATTCTTTGTGTTCCTTATCTCCCAACACGTGCCGCAGTCGATGATTCATCTCAGCTCATGCTCTTGTCTAATATAGCTTCTTTCATCTTCTCACTGTTACGTGTTAAGAGGTTTACCTCACATACTCAATCATGTCGTCTCCCGCATCTACCCCACAGTCGGAGACTCCCAATGGCAATGGCGTGAGCTTGCCTAGTCGGCCTCAGCCTAAGCCCTTTGCGAGCCAAGATGGAAGCTCCGGCTCCGGCACCCCCATCGGCTTCCAGCGCTATCCTCCCCACAATAAGCACTTAGATCATGCCGTTGGAAGTGCCTTGCGACAACCGTCCCCGCAGCCCACTCACTTGGGCATTCCCGGTACCCCGCACCGTGTACTCTCCGAGGAGGACCCGGGCTACATTGCGGCTACCTTTGAGGGCAAACAAAAACAGATGGAACAAGGTCAGTAGAAGTGATTGATGACATTGAGATGACACAATTGGCTAATTACCAGCAGTGATGGACATTTTGGAGGAGAAGGGCTTCTTCCCTAGTGACTTTGTCATCTCCGAAACCACCTGGTTCTATAACAAGCTTGGCATCGACGATACCTACTTCCAGACTGAGACGGTGGATGCCATCGTGACTCAAATTCTATCCCTCTATGCCGCCAAAGTCGCCGCCTACGCCCGCGATGATAAACAACTGGAGATTCGCCTGGACAAAGAGGCCGAGGACCATGCTGTCTACATCGATACCAGCAGGCCCGGTATGGCTTCTATCGATGGTCCACGCTACGAGCAGCGCATCGACGAGAAGTACGTCAATCACTCCAAGGGTGCCAACAGCTACCGTGTGGAGACCTTCCGTTCGCCTAGCCCTCTGCCAGGCGACAATGGCCAGCAGCTCCGCTGCTACTTCGTGTACAAGTGCCAGTTCGCCAATCCCACCCCCTCACCAAATGAGACCAACATCGATATCATTGGCGAGAAGCGTTTCTTGCAGAAGGCCACCCCCAACACCAAGGCGATCTACCAGGAAATTATCACTACGGCCGTTGGTCGCTCCGGCCCTGTCATCGAGATGTTCGAGATCGAGGGAAGCCGTGAAAAGCGTCTCGTGATTGCTTATCGCCAGGGATCCGCTATGGGCTTGTTCAGTGCTCTGTCGGATCTGTACCACTACTACCGCTTGACTAGCTCGCGCAAATACCTGGAGAACTTCTCCAACGGAATCACTGTGATTTCGCTATACCTCCGTCCCTCGGACGAGTCCGGGATCTCTGCCAAGTTCCCTCCGATCGAGGCTGCTATCCACCAAATCATGAAGGAGATCTCTCTTTTGTATTGTATCCCTCAGAACCGCTTCCAGGGCCACTTCGCCACCGGTCGTCTGAGCTTACAGGAAACAATTTACGCTCACTGCGCGTGGGTGTTTGTACAGCAGTTCCTTAACCGTCTGGGCTCTGAATACACTTCGTTGTCCGCACTGTTGGACAGCAACAACAGTGTTCACGCAGAGTTGCTATCAAAGATCAAGAAGCGTCTGCGCACAGAGACTTTCACTGCTGATTACATCTTTGAGATTATCAACAAATACCCCGAGCTGATCCACAAGCTCTACCTCGACTTCGCCAACACCCACTACGTTCAGACCCACGAGTCTGGTGATGACTTCCTCCCCACCCTCAGTTACCTGCGTCTGCAGGTTGACGAGGTCCTTGACGGCCCCAAGCTGAAGCAGCTCATTCGGGGCACCGCCATGAACGAGCACGATGAGATGGTGATGACCTCTTTCCGCGTGTTCAACTCCTCCATCCTCAAGACCAACTTCTTCACCCCGACCAAGGTGGCTCTCAGCTTCCGCTTGAAGCCGGACTTCTTGCCAGAGCACGAGTATCCCCAGCCCCTCTACGGCATGTTCCTAGTCATCAGCTCCGAGTTCCGCGGTTTCCACCTGCGTTTCCGCGACATCGCTCGTGGCGGTATCCGTATCGTCAAGAGCCGAAACAGCGAAGCATATAATATCAACGCTCGCTCCTTGTTCGATGAGAATTACAACTTGGCCAACACTCAACAGCGCAAGAACAAGGATATCCCCGAAGGCGGTGCTAAGGGTGTCATCCTGTTGGATGCTGACCACCAGGACAAGGCGCGGGTCGCCTTCGAGAAGTACATTGACAGTATCCTCGATCTGCTCCTGCCCCCGGTTAGCCCCGGTATTAAGGATCCGATCGTTGATCTGCACGGCAAGGACGAGATCCTCTTCATGGGTCCCGACGAGAATACCGCTGAGCTCGTCAACTGGGCCACCGAGCACGCTCGCAGCCGTGGTGCTCCCTGGTGGAAGTCATTCTTCACCGGCAAGAGCACTAAGCTGGGCGGCATTCCCCACGATGCTTACGGCATGACCACCCTCTCGGTCCGCCAGTACGTACTCGGAATCCAGCGCAAGCTGAATATCGATCCTTCCACACAGCTCAAACTGCAGACCGGTGGTCCTGACGGTGATCTTGGATCCAACGAGATCCTTCTCTCCAATGAGAAGTATGGAGCCATTGTTGATGGATCTGGTGTGATTTACGATCCAAACGGTCTGAACCACGAAGAGCTTATCCGCTTGGCCAAGAAGCGCGCTATGATCTCAGAGTTTGACATGACCAAGCTGTCTCCCGAGGGCTACCGCATCCTCGTGGACGAGAAGAACATCAAGCTTCCCAGCGGCGAGATTGTCCACAACGGCATGATCTTCCGTAATACATATCACCTGCGCTCACAAGAGAAGTTTGACGTGTTCGTGCCTTGCGGTGGCCGCCCGGAGTCCATCGACTTGTCTACCGTCGGCAAGCTCATCAAGGACAACAAGTCTATCGTCCCCTTCATCGTTGAAGGTGCCAACTTGTTTATCACCCAGGACGCCAAGCTACGCCTCGAGAAGGCCGGCTGCATCCTGTACAAGGATGCTTCTGCCAACAAGGGCGGTGTGACATCTTCCTCTCTGGAAGTATTGGCCTCGCTCTCTTTCAACGACGAGGAGTTCGTTGAGAATATGTGTGTTCGCGAGGACGGCACCGTCCCCGAATTCTACCAGGCCTACGTCCGCGAAGTGCAGGAGGTCATCAAGTCGAACGCCGCTCTCGAGTTCGAGGCCATCTGGCGCGAACACGAGCAGACTGGTGTGCTTCGCAGTGTACTCAGTGACCGTCTCAGCTTGGCCATCACCAAGCTTGATGAGGAACTCCAGATGACCGAGCTCTGGGACAACGTTGCCCTCCGTCGCTCTGTGCTTGGTGACGCTCTTCCTCGTCGTCTGTTGGACAAGATCGGCCTGGAGACCATCTTGGAACGTGTATGTCTCCCTAAATCCTTTTTTTTCTTGCTTTTTGAATTCCCGCTAATAAGTCCCAGGTCCCTGAGAACTACCTTCGTGCTATTTTCGGCAGCCACCTGGCCAGCCGCTTCGTGTATGAGTACGGCAACCAGCCCAGCCAGTTCTCTTTCTTCGACTTCATGACCAAGCGCCTGGCTAAGGTTCAGTCGTAAGCCTTTGGGATGTAACATTCCTGTTGCGAAAGTGTTGGTTTTGATTCTGTTTTGACATTATGTTTCCCCTTTGACGAGAGAAAGACTTTCCGGAGTCCACGAAATACTTAATACGGAACAAAAGAAGATCTGTTCCTTTGACGAATGTATGGTTTAAAAAGTTTGGCAAGCGAGAGAAGAGAGAGGCCGTTTGGGCAATATGATCCGTTAGAATCAAAAATTCTTACCCATTGAAACTAGCAGTTTTATCCTACATAACTAGCATGTAGATTCTATTATATTACACCAATCAACTTCCCTGTCTCCCTCATCTTACCTCCATTTAATCTGAGACGACAAAGTCTCAGCCATAATCAACACGATATTCACAGCCTACATAGAAGGTCAGTATATCAGATCAACTGAGTAACACCCCTAGGAAGCCCACAAGCTCCGGATTTAAGCCAGGATAAACACACCAGTAACAAATCTACTCCCTCGCGAACCTCTACCTCCCACCTCGGCCTCGACTTCACTTTGGATTTACTGTAGTCTATCACATTGTGTCTCGTGATATGCATGATCTTCTGATTACCCATCATCACACCCGTACCGGACCCAGCTAGCTGCATCACTCTCAACTCAACCTTTGCGTTGGGGGGTGCGTCGACTTCTGCAATATGTCCTAGTCCAGGACTGGGACTAGAACTTTGATTGGCATTCAGCGATGAAGATGAAGGGAATGGTGAAGCCGGCGCTGGCTCTTGCGGCGGCTCGATTGCATCGAGCAGATCTCGTAGGGAATTAGGCGAGTCTCGGCGGACAGAGTCGTAGGAGGGGAGAATGGACTGAGCAGTATGTGGATGTGAATCGGGGAGTGGTGGATGTATCTCTTTCTCGTTCCTCTGCGCCACACCCGCATCCCCAGAAACAGCACTATAAGGCGGCGGCTCGTCCGACACCGCCAATCCGCTCCCACTTTCACTTTCTACAGCTCCAGACTCCAGCCTAATTGCAAGCGCATTCACAAAACGCACCTCAAGCCCAAATCCACCCCCAACCCCAACTCTGGACCCAGGCCCGTCGCCAGCCCAAGGTATAGAAGCTACCAATAAATCCGCAGTCCCCGGAGTTTGCTTCGGAAGTCTCACACTCCACTTCCGCATGGTTGACAACCAAACACGGCGTATTATGAGCACCGGCACGTTCTCCGTGTCGCAGACTACGCGGCTCGTGTTTGGCCATGGTTTTCCGAACACGGTGTAGAGGAGGACGTCGCGGTCTGGGCTACCCGGGGCTTCGTGTGGGCGGGTGCGGTAGACTGTGTAGGCGGGGCAGAGCTGTTTGCTGTCTTGGGTGGGTGTGATTGTCAGGGTCGTTGCAGTATTGGTTAGGAGATCTGCTGGCGGGGAGAGGAGGTGGTGGGGTTGGAGGGCTATCGGTGCTGTAGGGGATATGAGAGGGTTGGATTTGGATTTGGATTTGGATTTGGACATTGGGCTTAGGGTAGGTTGATGTTTATGCATTCAATTACAATGGAGGCTGTGTATAGAGATATAGGAAGAGAGGAAGAGTTGGAGAAATGACGAGATTGATGGTGGGGTCGGGAGTGCCGGATAAGTCTAGAGATGGTCGCCATTTAAGAGTACAATATGTATGTCCGTATATATATGCATCTAGTGGAATGAATAAGAATTTGTGGATTCCGATTTTTATAAGAAAGTAGGAATATATGAGAGCATAACTATTCCAAGCACTTATTGCCTGACTACCGGAAATACCGGACATAGGTACTTGGCTTCACTGTTTGACATGGATAGTACATGGACTGCCGTCTAGACCTATACTTCTCATGATTCCACGTTTCTAACCCTCTCTACATCTCAACTTCTATAGGCTGAGACAAAATCCTATGAAGATTCCACTCAGGTGGAACCATGGTCCACACATGCCAATGCTAGAGGCGTAGTCCAGACCGAAAGAAAATTCTGCTTGGGAGGGAATTTGGAGAAGAAATATGAATAGAGTTGTATGTGGTGAAATGTTTCTATTAAGAAGTTTTTTTTATGTTAGGCGTGTTCGGATATCATCTTTAAGGGTCAGGAAGAAGTCGGATATAAATTAAACCTGTCAGGGGTTGACGGGACGGGTTTAAGCGTGTCTATTTCCTATTTGGGTCGGGCCAGGAACAAATCCTACGCGTGTTCAATGCATAAATTTCATTAAATTGAATGAATCGGGTTCTCCATATCTTAGACAGAAATCCACCTTCATTTTCTCTCTTTTGAAAATGATATCTGACCGTTTGTGGGGCATTCCCTTACTAGCTGCCGCTTTTGCCTCTAGTGCAAGGTCTGTTGAAGGTCTTATTCCTCGGATATTTCCCATCTAGAAAAGGCAAAAGAGTCAAGCGCACTTCTACTTCCAAATATTCAACGTGTGCTGTGATGTCGGAGGCGCAGGAAAAGTTTCCGAGCCCTCCACATCTTTCTGCGGAGACAGCCGAGGGCAACCCAGTCGAAGACAATGACCACAATGTCAATCACGACCCAGAAATTCCTCGGTCAGACGAGGCTAGCCTGAAGCCTCGTCTATCGAATATCCAAAGATGGCGGACAGCAAGCCAACGGGTGCGGACTGGCGCTGCGACGATAGCCGAGAAGCTCGGACGACCCCCCGAAAGAGAGGCCGATGGTTTGGATTCGCCAATGTTACCAGAGCAGTATGGAGCAATAGACGATATCCGAGGAATTGAGGCTCGTCAGGCAATCGATGAAGAAGCTCGGCTTCTAGGAACAGACTATGATTCACAAGCTCGGCATTTGGTGGAACGAATGGGGCTACAGTCCGGACAACAGCCTCCACGCATCGAAGAACCACGTTCGGGTTCGACAACCCCAGGAACTACAGATGGGACGGCAACACCAGGCGGGCCACCCGGAGGACTCTTGTCACAATTACTTCGTGTATACGCCAACAACCTCCACACTGCGAGTCGGATGAGTGTTGTCTCCACGGCTTCAGAAACGGAACAAGATATAGAAAGCCTCCCACCATCCGGCACAGTGACACCGGGTGGGAAGAAAGAAAAATTGAAATGGTATAACCATGGCAATCACCCCAACAAACCAACCCACAGCTACACTTCCTCACTTATCAACGCATCCATGGATTTGGGCCGGGTTGGGGTTCCCGGTGCCATAGGCCCCCCTCCTGTGAATCCCAAAGAACGAAAGAAGCAAAGGCGTAAGAGCAAGAAAAACATCAAGCTCACCGTCCACATTGCCGCCATCCTCGCCCGCCAACAATACATCATGCAGATGTGCCGCGCTCTAATGAAATACGGCGCCCCGACCCACCGCCTCGAGGAGTACATGATGATGACCTCCAATGTACTGGATATCAAAGCACAGTTCATGTACATCCCCGGATGCATGATAATGTCCTTCGATGACCCGCTCACTCGTACTGCGGAGGTAAAGATCATCCGCGTAGTCCAGGGACTGGACCTCTCTCGTCTCGCAGAGACACACAACATCTACAAAAAGGTTGTTCACGACGTCATCAGCGTCGAACAGGCAATTCACGACCTAGACGAGATTATGCAACGCAAGCCACGCTACAACCGCTGGCTCCTCATCTTCCTAACTGGCTGCGCCAGCGTCGCCGTTGGCCCATACTCCTTCAGTGCCCGACCCATTGATCTCCCTATAATCTTCGTACTTGGCTGTCTAGTAGGCTTCATGCAACATGTCGTGGCACCAAACTCAGCCACTTATTCAAACGTGCTAGAAGTCACCGCCGCGGTCCTCACCTCTTTCCTCGCACGCGCTTTCGGCAGCATCCAGCACAACGGAGAGCGCGTCTTCTGCTTCTCGGCCATGGCGCAGTCCTCCATCGCAATGATCCTTCCGGGCTTCGCCGTTTTAAGCAGCAGTCTCGAGCTACAGTCGCATCAGATGAATGCAGGCTCGATCCGGCTGGTCTTTACGATTATCTACTCACTCTTTCTCGGGTACGGTGTTACTGTCGGTACGACAATATACGGACTAATGGACCACAACGCTACGAAAGAGTCGACCTGTTCAAATTTGCCGGAGGTCTGGGGAAACGAATATATCCAGCACTTTCCCTTCGTCGCGCTGTTCTGTTGCTTCGCTGCATTGATCAATCAGTCGAAAGCGAAACAGTTGCCGGTTACGATCCTCATGGGTGTTTGTGGCTACGTCACAAATTACTTCAGCACGAAGAAGCTCGGCTCGAATCAGGTTGCTAATACTGTTGGCGCATTCACGATCGGCCTCCTGGCTAATCTGTATAGTCGGTTGTGGCATGGTCATGCGGCCGCTGCTATTATCCCGGGTATCTTTACCCTCGTCCCGTCGGGTCTTGCATCTAGTGGGTCAATTATCTCTGGCTTGCAGTACGCTGAGGCTGTTGCGTCTGGTAATGCCTCTAGTGCGACCTCCAATAGCTCGCTTACCTCGCTGGGGTATGGTATGATCCAGACAGCTATTGGCATTTCTGTTGGCCTGTTTATCTCCGCTTTGATTGTTTATCCACATGGGAAAAAGCGGAGTGGAATCTTCAGTTTGTAAAATCTGGCGTGCATTTGTTTGATTTAGCGATTAATCTTGTTTGTTTCATATTGTATCATTTACATTAGCGTCTTTGTTTCCCAAAGAGCGATAAAGGCGTGCCGCTTGTACCACATACACCATCTAACCACTCACTATATACACGGTCACCAATCCGAATACCCAGAAGCAAGGCATCAAGAAAGCCCTCAAAAAACGCTACTCAAGCCGAAGGATTCAAACCAATGGACTATACATAGTTGCAAAGTCGCTTGATACAAGTTCACTGGCGCTATTTTTCTGTATAATATTGAGAGGTGTGTCTGAGGTGTCTATAAAGATTTTCTCAGTTCATGCTCATGTTCTCATCCCCATCAACCTCCAAACTACTGGCTTGATCCTTGCTTGAAGGGAATTGCCGTTTGTGCAAGGCGCAGGTTTCAAGGGGTGTCTTCTGGTTTTGTTTGTTTCAGTGCTTGGCCTACAGGCTATGGGCAAAATTTAATGGAACCCCCCCCCTTTCCCCCGGGCCGAAGAACTATACTAAGTCAGATACAACACCCGATGAATAGCCCAGCCCGGCTTGTGCCGAAATATCTTTCAATCTCGACAAACAGCCACTATTTCCGACTGAAGAAGGTCTGAATATAACCGTATCCGATGGTCCATGGGGTGCGCTTGTAGACTACTCAGTCCTACTTATACCTTTCTTTATGATTGGCTTTTCTTTGTTTTTCGCGCAGGTTTAACTTAGCAAATGGAGATTATTCTTCTCCTTTCGAGTTTTTTCCTCCACGGATTGAAGATTAGATAGCCTAGCAACCTGGGCGGCCTAGCTGGTACGAATCGTCTTTTTGTCTTATGAGGGTTCAACAACACCATGTTATATTGCGCAAATCTGTAACAACAGCATAGAAGGTCCAACTATGACGTACAGTGAGATAAGCAGACGAGAACAAAGAGCAAGAGACAAAGGAGACAAGAGGATGACAATTAATATATTGTTTGCTTCTACATGTCTTTATCAATAGCCCCCTCTCCACTCCCCCTCTGTATGGTTTTCTCCTCCCTAAATCAGCATGTTTTGAAGAATCTTCCTATCTTCATCAGACCCCTGGTATCTATGTACCCCATGAAGAAACTAAAACAGGAAATAAGAACAGAGGCTCAATATATGAATGAATGCGATGGTAGCCAGCCTGATGATACCACACGATTCACCCCGGCTGGAGACACGGCGGCTCCTACTCCAAACGAACAAGAGGACACTGGCACATCCACCTCTGCAAAGAAAAAGAAGGCTGATCGCTCCCTCCCAACTTCGCACATTGTGGAACCCGGCCATGGACTTTCGTATGACTACGCGTGGTATCATTCACCGCTAGAAGAGCCTGCTGTGTACCACATGAGTGACCCTGCAGCGGCTTTGATTGCATATGCGGCTATCAAGGCAGTGAACGAACGTGTGCAGTTTGATCTGCGGAACATGAAGTCCATGCTGCTAGAACGTGAATTGATTGAGGACTCTGAGGACTCTGGGTTTGAGGACGGATACGCTAGTTCTTCAGATGATGCTGTTGATGTTTTTGCTGGTGCGAGGTAGATGGGGGCTAGATGGGGGCTTGGCATGGACTGGTGTGGGCAAGATGGAGACAAATTTAGTTGTTTACCTTTTGGTCTTCTGGGGGAGAGATGAAGCCATTTTGAAGATTCTCAATACTTTTCTTTTCTCGAGTACGTCCCTCTGATAGATGGAGCATAACAAAATGTTTTTTCTTTTTGATTTATCGGTATTTTGTAGCCCTGAACCTTTCCATAACTCCTTTTGATAGTGGGTTACAGGAAGAAGATCATGTAGACCTCACCAAAGCCCATAAAGCCCACAGTCCAGCCCGACCTAACCCGCAAATAGGTTAGATTTTCGGCCCGGTCCTTAGGCCCATCGATGATGGGCTACGGGCTTATACCTCGAGCCCACTGCGGGCTAACAGGAGCCCAGATCGGCCCTAAGCAATATAAACATAAAAGTTGAACCCCCCCTTTCAGGATAATTTAATTACCTCTGTTTTATGCCGTTTTCTTACCCTAATCCCTAAGGTGATAATATGTCCAAATTAATGATTTAGAATCAATTACTAGCATTCAGAGCGCACATCAACTAAGAAAGTTTTAAAATTACATAGGCTCACTAGAAAGTGGTAGTGCTTCCCTGAGAAACCTGATAATATATCTAGTATCAAAATAGCATTCTTCACCTTTTCGGTTTTATCTTAACCCCCAAGCATCGGATTCTGTTGGAATTTGATATATACACTTATAGTATTTTCTTTATTATAAATTCTCAATTTAAACCTTATACTATCGGTGGAAGGTTGTAATAAAACGATTATGGAATCCACTTTGTTAGCGCCTATATAGGTTTTTATAGGGGGAAGGTCGAGGAAGATGGACCAATCTAGGAAGGCGACGATGTCACACGTGACCCGGAGACTTTCACGTGCTTGCTCTGTTTCTTTTGGCCGAAAGCGTCATTCTAGAGGTGCAGATGAAGAATAAAGAAAAAATATATATATATATCAACTCTCTAGTACCTAGCACTCTTGAAATTCATGAGAATACACAATAACACGCCTTCTACGTAAATCAGTGAAATGGAGAACGCAACAACAACTCTCAGAAGTCGGCAAGAAAACACAATCGTCCCAATCTAAGTTCAAGAACAAGAATCGAACCGTCCAATTCGCCTCGACCAGCCAATCGCGTTGAATTGGAGATCACTCAATTACCAATCTTCTCAGCAAACCACACCACTAGATGACTGACAGTTGGATGACTCCAGGTCAACGTTGGGGGCACCGCGACCTTCAGCGTTTGCTGCAGCTGGCGACGCAGAGTGACTGTCATAACAGAGTCCACACCCAGATCGGCCAGGGCTGCCTTTGAATCCACATCCTCAGCAGTCATCTGCAGCACCTTGGCCACACAGCCCCGGATTTTCTCGTCCAGATACGCCTTGAGCTCTGGTCCTGATGTAGGCACCGCATCACTGCCATTCGAACCTGCAGCCGGCTGCGCGGTGCTAGACAGCGTACCCACGCGCCGCACTGCGATATCATTAAGGATGGGTACCGGCACCGGCTCCCCCTCCTCAAAGGAGAGACTTCGCAAAACGACTCCGTGGTCCATATCATACTTGGCGAGATGCTGCCATGCGGCGAAAGCCTCATCGCGGGTCACGTCCGTGATTCCTTTGGATTCTAATTCTGCATTGATGAAGTCTGTGCTAGCGCCCATTCCCAGGCCCCGCCACGACGTCCACTGGAAGGATACGGCTGAGTCACCCAGACGCGCCCGGTGGGTCGCCAGTGTATCCAAGAAGGCATTGCCACTGCCGTAAGAGGCTTGGCCAGTGAAGCCGACCAGGTTTCCACAAGAGGAAAACATGACAAAGAAATCCACGCTCTTAGGGGGGAAGACTTCATGAAGGGCTAGTGCACCCGCGATTTTGGGCGCGAGAACCCGGCTGAAGGCGTCGCGTGTGGTTTGCATCACAAGCTCGTTATCCAGAACACCGGCAGCATGAACGACACCCAGGACTGAAGGCAGGGCGAGGCGGTCCAGCGCCGTCGACAGGTGTTCGGCCGCATCCGGCTTGGTGATGTCCAAGGGGAGGACATGAACCGAGGCGCCGCGACTCTCCAGGAGGCGTATTTTGGCGATGGTCGGCTGGAGATCCGCGCCAACCTGGTCCCAGGTCCGGCGAGGGGGGAGGGAACGCCGCGAGATCAGCAATAGACGCCTGGCACCCTTCTCGACCAGGAAGTCAGCGACCTCGAGTCCGAGTATGCCAAGGCCACCGGTGATCAGATATGTGCCCTCGGGGCGTGGAAGGAGACGAGGACCGTCGCTGACAGGGCGCAGCTTGGAGCGCGGTAAGCTGCGGAACCGGGAGATGCGAGCGATTCCGTCGCTGATTCGGATGATCTCGGCCCCCTGAATGTATCGCATCGTCGACAGGGGGATCGTGGGCTCTTCAACGTCAATGAGGGATCCCATATCGGGATGCTCACTGGCGATGATTCGCGCCAGGCCGAACAATGGGGATTGAGCCAGGGCGGTGGGGGTTTGACCCTCGCCCACGCCCGCAGTGAGGGTGAAGACCTTGATAGGCAGTGAGCCATTGACGATGAATTTGATCAATTCGAGCAGATTCCAAGTGAACGACTCGGATGCACTGGGGACCTCCGCTAGCGAGGCGACCTCACCGGGGATGTAGGTCACCACAGTTCCCTTCTCAAGGGGAAGGGATGAAGCATCGCTGAAGAAATCCTGTGTGGTGGAGTACTGGAAAGATTGAATCCCGGTTGGCAGAGTTGCTGCATACTGAGCCCGGGTCGTAGCATCAGGGGAGACTAGGATCACCGTCGTAATGGGCAAGGGCTCCTCGGCTGGGGTGGCCGGTGGCCAGGCGATTTGATGAACGAGACTCTCCATGCTGCCACTGACGCCGGGGGTACCTTCAATCTCCGAGAACCGCATGGCCGTAAACTTCGCGAGGACCTCGCCTGTTTCGCTCACCACGCTGACGTGAGAGGTGGGCACTGTATCCGAAGCCTCCTCGACGTAGAGCCAGCTGATCTTGGGTGGGTCCTCCGAGGTGAAGATCTCCACACGCTCGATCTGGGCTGGCATCCGCAGTGCAGCTGTTGAGAAGATAGTTGAGCCAACGGAGGTGGCAGCGTCGAGAACCGGAGCCCAGGAGGATGAATCCCATGGCAGGGGGGGCATCTCCCAGGACGGCGGGATTGACATCAACACGCGCCAGCATTTCCGTTGCATTGCGATGATGCTCTGTCACCGCCCAGGGGAATCCCATGGCCGAGACGCCCACCTTGTCCAAGTAGTCAATCGAAAAGTTGTCTGGTAGTTTGGTGACCAGTCGTGACTTGACGGCGGCGAGGTCGATGCGATCTGCTGAACCCAGCACCTTCCGATCCCAATAGGCAGTGGTGTGTGTGACCCAGGAGGCATCGTCATCCAACGCCGAGGGCTCACTTGGAATCAACCGGGACACAACCTTCACCTGATCCTGCTGCACTACGACCTGGACGGACCGTGGCGCGTTGATAGCAACGGGAACACGGAGCACCACGTTTTGAAGCATCTGGCCACCGGTGCCTTTTACGAAAGTATTAATCAGACCTGCTGCGGGAACGATCTCGGTACCGTGCAGGGGATGGCTGCCGGGGAAGGGCTTAGTTTCGTTGTCCAGCCTGCTAGTGTAAACAAAGGTGTCGGTGCCGGGCACCGGGATGCGCTGTCCCAAAAGCGTGTGTTTTTCGACGTCATGTGTGAGGCCAGTATGGAGGGGCGCTGTCTCTATCTTGCGCCAGATGGGCTTATGCATCCAGGTAGTGGTGGGCAGACCGGTGGCCCAGCGTCCAGGCATCTGCGCTGCCCAGTTCACTTCCGCGCCGCGGCAGTGAAGCTGTGCAATGCTATGCAAGACATGCTTCTCAGTTGGCTTCTGGCGAAGGAGAGTTGGGATAACCGCAAAGTCCTCCATGCCTGCATCCATTAGTGTCTCGTTGATAGAGTGAGACACCACTGGATGGGTTGAAACTTCGAGGAAGAGGCGATATCCGTCCTCAACAGCGGCTTTGACGGCCGAGGTGAGACGCACACGATTGACCATGTTGCCGGCCCAGTATTCCACGTCCCGCAGGTCCTGACCGCGAGGGTCTACTAGTGCGGTGGAATATAATCTGATGCTGGGACTCATGGGGGACAGTGTCTCTCCGAGCACATCACGCAGAGGATCCACAAGGCCATTCAGGGTTGGACTATGGAAGGCAATATCACTCTTGACAGTGAATGTCTTCACGCCTCGTGCCTTGAGGGTCTCTGCTGTCTCGGCCACCATATCCTTGTCTCCAGCCACCACGCAGGAAGAAGGCGATGAATCAATGGCCACAACCAGGTCTGATCGGGGGCCTAAGATCTCTTCTGTCTCGCCACTAGGGAGGTTGACAAGGATCATGCCGCCCTTGCCCATAACCTGTCGGTATAACAATGCTCTGCGGGTGACAATAAGCGCGCCCTCTGCTGGGGATAAAGCTCCAGCCACAACACTGGCAGCAATTTCGCCCACGGAGTGGCCAATCACGGCCTGCGGAGTGATACCATTGCTCTGGAGCAAAGCACTAAGCCCGATTTGCATGACATAAGTTAGGATCTGTACCCGATCAGATGACTCAAAGTCGCCCGTTCGGAGCAGCTCTATTGGTGACAGGCCAATCTCAGTTTGGATCAACTCGTCAAGTGGCTGAATGGCTCCGAAGAATACAGGATTGTGGATGAGTTGCTTGCCCATGTCCGGCCACTGCGCACCGTGCCCGGAAAACACCCAGACAACGTCCTTGCTAATGTCTGCGCCCAATACACGGCTCTGGGTCGTGAAAATATGGTCAACTCCATTGGCCAGTGCTTGAAGGACCTGCTCCGCATCACGGTGGTCATCAACCACAAGCGCTGCTCGGTAGTCATGGTGATCTCGTCGCGTAGCCAGAGTCGTGAGAATATCACTCAAATTTTGATCTTTTCCTTCAGCAGTCATCCACTCCCGCAATGTTTTGGCTTGAAGTGCTAAACGCTTTTCCTGTGGGCCGGACAATAGTAAAATGCCTGGTCCGGTGGCTGCCCCGTCGTCCAGGGGATCTGGCTGCAGGATATGACTGAACTCCTCGATGACTGCGTGGGAAACGGTACCTCCGTACCCATATGAGCACACACCTGCTCGACGGATGGAGTCCGAGGAGGGCCACGGGGTGGCCTCCTGGACGACCTTCACGCCAGCTGTCTTCCAGTCAATCCGGCTATTTAGTTTTGTCAAGTTGGCCTGGGGTGGCAGGACGCCCTTTTGAATGGCCAGGACTGCTTTTATAAAGCCCATGACGCCTGCACCGGCTTCCAGATGGCCAATGTTAGGCTTGACGGACCCGATATAACACGGATCGTCAGCGGGACGGCCGGCACCGTAAACGCCTGCGATGGCAGAAATTTCAGTTGGGTCTCCCAGAGGTGTGGATGTGGCATGTGCTTCCACATAGCGCACGGTGAGAGGGTCAACGTTCGCAGCGGCGAGAGCATTGTGTGCTGCTAGCTGTTGTGCTTTGGCATTGGGAGCCATGATGCCGTTTGTCTTGCCATCCTGGCATACTGCACTGCCCTTGATGACCGCCACGACGTTATCATGGTCGAGCAATGCACGGTGCAAACTTTTGAGAACGAGAGCGCCGGCACCTTCGCCTCTGGCATACCCATGGGCGTCATCATCGAAGGACTTGCAAGATCCATCAGACGAGATGGCTCCGGCTTTGTCGAGGACGCGGGTCAAGCCTGGTCCACAGAGGGCATTGACGCCTCCAACAATAGCCACCTGTGATTCCCCTAGCCGGATGGCCTGAACTCCGTGATGAACGGCGACGAGAGACGACGCACAGGCCGCATCCACGGCGGTACTGGGTCCCATCAAATTGAGGTGATAAGAAATGCGATTGGGCACACCACAGTACGCAGTACCAATGCCCATCCAGGCCTCAACATTTGGCAGATCTTCCAGGACTAGCTTGGAGTAGTCGTCCGAGTTCACACCCCAGAAGACCGCTGTGTCACTGCCAGACAGGCTCTTGAGAGGAATGCCGGCATCCTCCAGAGCTTCAGATGCCACTTCGAGGGAGACTCGCTGTTGGGGGTCCATCTGCTCGGCCTCCTTTGGAGAGATACCAAAGAATTGACAATCAAAGTCCTCTAGATGGTCTAAGAAATACCCACGCGACGTCGTTTGCTTGAGAAACTTTTCATTCCGTGGATCCCGACGGTAGTAAGGCTCCCATCGCATTGGTGGAATCTCACCCACTGCACTTTTCTGGCTGAGAAGCGATTGCCAGAGAAGCTCAGGGTTGTGGTTGCCTCCGCTACGCGGCAGGCCATGCCCACCACCGCCACGTCGTTGGAGAATTCCTGTTGATTGTTAGTGAAAGCACGCTTGTGATGGACGATGCAGCACGCCGGGGATAGGGACCACAGACATATTCACTGTATTCAGTTCCAGGGGTTTCAGCTGGTGCTGGGGATGTTTTCCCAGAGGGATATGTAGAAGTTGCAGCAGAATGCATGTCTGTCAGCAGCAGTTAAGAGACTCGGTCCCTTAGCAAGGTCAAGCTTTCTTCATGGAAAGATGACAGCTGTTGGTCATTGACTCCCCTTTATATATCTCGTCCATTAGTACAAGATATAGAAACCCATTCGTCCGGACCTGCTCTGGGCCTCCTCTGGGCCTCCCCTCCATAGCAGTTTCTTATCGCCTCGGTGAGACCGACATCCCGAACATTCACAAGGTTACCTTGAGCATCAGCAGTATCAACCAAGATAGTGGCTGCCGCTGTCTAATTTCCGAATTGGGACATCTTTATCTCCATCCATTCGTCAATTCGTCCATTCGGGGGTTGTTCGGGATTCCGACATAATGCAGCCAAGCTTCGCAATTTAGACGCTGACGACCAACGGGAATAACCGTGAATTATTGCATTCCCGCCCGTAAGCAGTGGCGATGGCGATCTTGACATTTGTCAGGGTTTTGAGACGTTGAGGGCCGTCAGCCCTAAGCCTGAACGGGATGCATGCTGATTAACCCAAAGGAGTGCCAGGAGTGCCGGGATTCACTTCTTCAAAAGGTGCCCGCTGAGCTATCTCACCCTTTAGGATCTTCATCGGAAACTCCGTGTAGATATCCCGGAGGAGAATTTTCATCGTAACCTTTCAAGTTTTGATCAGGCCATTTCGACATGTCTTGTCACGCAGGCAGCCCATGGGGGGACTCTGCATGCAAAGAGGACAGTGAATGCGATAACAAATATATATGTGCTGAGAGGGACACGAAGGTATCTTTAGGTGATCTTTGGGAGAATAGTTCGAATGTTCATGCCTTTGCTGTATAATTCGACATCTACTAGCTAGTCAACTATCTATCGCAAGTGTCTTGTTACAATGGCTCCATTTGTGCCCTACCACTACTCAGCCGGCCAGTCGACCATTGTCAAGTAATAAGCCCCCTATCTCCCCCAAGCTACTGGGTCAAAAGCCTTTGGGTTACTGACATAGACATAATTTCCAGATTTGGCGGTCTTCTCACTACCGAATTTCTCGAACCTCCACCAGGCCGTTGCTTTCTCTTCCGTCAGACATACCGCCACACCGTTGAAGGCTCGATCCCGGAAAATCTGCGTAAGCTCATTAACAGCGCCGATCGACCCAAGGGCCCACCGCCGCATTTCCACCAATTCCAGACTGAGTACTTTCGCGTCGAAAATGGGGTACTCGGTATTTCCGTAGATGGGGTCGTCCGCCGCATCACCCCGGAAGACGGCGAGATCTCCGTCAAAGCAGGCAGCGTGCATAACTTTTTCATTCATCCGGACTCCCCCGAGACCATGACGGTTTACCTAAGTGCATCGGACTCCGGAAATGACTACCAGCTCGATCGAGTCTTCTTCGAAAATTGGTATGGCTATTGGCACGATGCTTTGTTGCACGACGGAGGGATTGATTGGATCCAGTTTCTCGCGGTAATGATCTATTTCTCGTGCAAAATTCTTCTTGCCATGAACTGATATGGTAGTAGATCCAAGACGGCGGAGATGCCTATACCCCCCGCTCCCGCATGGGTGCCCTTTCGCCGGCAGGTCGGATACTGGACCTGTGTGATTGTCGGTCGATGGATTGGAGGACTGCTAGGTTATAAGCCCTTCTTCCGGGAATACACTACGGATTGGGACTTCGCTGTCGCCAAGATGAAGGGGTCCTTCTTTCAGCGGCATCTGGTGCACACTGCATTCGAGGAAGAGAAATCCTGGGCCAAACAGGCAGAGCTGGAACCCACGGCTAAGCCTGAAAATGCTGAATTCGAGCAATGGACCGAGGATATGTCCCCCACGCCATTGGCCCTGGGTCCAGTGGCCTATGAGCAGGGGCAGTTCACCGGCGCACGACCTGGGCCAGTGAATGGATCCAACGGTCACTCCACAGGGGTCGAGAGGAAGCTGGAGCAGTTGGGGTCTTGGACACAGCGACGCGCAGTGGTCGATGATGCAGACAAATAGATATATCTCAATAGTTGAATTTGATCGTTGTTTCTCCCCCCTTCTTCTCGTGTTGGGCGAGTACAAGATGAACCCTTAATCGATTGTCCAGTGAAGTCTGTTTATATTGAACCTGTGGACAGTGTAAAAGAGGAAGATCATGGTAATCTTCATCTTGGGGAGAACGCATGACCCCACGTAGTACATTACGGCGTGCTTATGAGTTACGCTGTTTACGTAGACTATGTGATATAGAGGGACAGTTCTCAATCGGAGACTATTATGACATCAACGCCCTTCGCTAAGGATTGTCACGGACTGTAACATACACTCGACGTCCGACAACTCATTCTGTAAAGATCGTGATTGTACTTTACAGGATTACAAAAGGCCTCATCGATGATATCTCAATGAGTAGGATGGGATGTATCCGCAAATAATATACCTAGGTTAGATCTCCATACGAGCTGACTCCGATTCTCCTTTAGGAACTCTGAATCGTCGCCTCTCTAGGTGAGTCCCAATTGCAAACCTAGTATCATGCCCGTTCCCCGCGTTGATGAGGACCATAAGTATAGATAATGAGTCTGCCCCAAGGAACAACTTTTGGCCATCCATCAACACTATGGACTTTCTACAGCTCACATCAACGCATCTTCTGGCGGTACTGTTTACCAGTACCAGCGCATTGTTCATTGTAACATACCTCCTCCGTGCAGGACATCGACCCTCAGAGCTCCCGGACGGTATGTGGTTGCAGGAAAGAGCCGGGACTTCATATCTGACTGGTGCACAGGCCCTCCAACTGTTCCGCTTTTTGGAAACGAGCTGCAGGTGCCAAAGTGGGATGCACATTTCCAGTAAAGGCCAACCATTTTCAATTGATATATTCGGGTATTGTGCTAAGTAGTTTGCGTAGGTTCTCCAAGTGGGCTAAGGAATATGGCGGATTTTTCTCACTGAAGCGATATAACAACACCACTATTGTTATCAGCGACCATAAACTGATCAAGGCACTGCTGGACAAAAAGAGCAACATATACTCCCATCGACCCGCATCACTGGTATCCCACTTGATCACGCAGAGTGACCATCTGTTGGTCATGCAGTATGGTGAGCGATGGCGCATGCTACGTAAAACCATTCATCAATACTTCATGGAGCCGCGCTGCGAGCGCGAGCACTGGAAAGTCCAAGAGGCCGAAGCCAAACAGATGCTGCACGACTTTTTGACCATGCCAGAGGATCACATGCTACATCCTAAGCGATACAGTAACAGTATCACCAACTCGCTTGTCTTCGGTATCCGCACCAAAACCGTTCATGATGAGTACATGCAAAGGCTCTTCTATCTGATGGAAAAGTGGTCCTTGGTGCAGGAACTAGGCGCCACCCCCCCTGTCGACTCGTTTGCTCTGCTGCGCTACGTGCCACAATGGCTATTGGGCAACTGGCGGGACCGGGCGGTTGAAGTGGGTGATCTAATGCAGTCCCTTTACCAGACCGTGCTAGATCAGGTGCAGGAGCGCCGCCAACGCGGTGTTCAGCGTGACTCCTTTATGGACAGAGTCTTGGATACGCTCAAGCAGACACCGCTTACCGAGAATGAGCTACGATTCCTAGGGGGTGTTCTGATGGAAGGAGGCTCCGATACTTCGTCCTCGCTTATCTTGACCATTATCCAGGCGATGACCAAGTATCCTGAAGTGCAAGCGAAGTACGCTCAAATAATTTATCTTTATCTGCTCAAGTGGGAAAGCTGACGGAGTGGTATTGCAGGGCCCATGCACAAATCGACTCTGTTGTCGGCAATGACCGCTCTCCGGCTTGGTCTGATTGGCCCCAGCTGCCCTATATCAATATGATCATCAAGGAGTCTCACCGGTGGCGTCCAGTCAGCCCTCTTGGCGTTACCCACGCCGTCGCTGAAGGTCTGTCTTACAAATGCGATATTTCTCTGTCGTGCCTGTGATCGCAGATTATGCGAGCGGATTTGATGAAATATCGATGAAACATCAAAGTGAGAAGAAGTCAATTAGCTAATATTGTATTGCAGATGACCACATCAATGGGAAGCTCATTCCGCGAGGATCGAGCATTGTTCTCAATGTTTGGGGAATGCATCATGACAGTGATCGATGGCAGGAACCAGAGCATTTTCAGCCTGAACGTTTTGCCGATTTCCCAGCTTTAGCCTCAACCTACGCAGCGTCCGAAAGGAGAGATCACCTTGGTTACGGAGCGGGCCGACGTATCTGCCCGGGCATCCACTTAGCGGAGCGCAACTTAATCATAGGAATCGCCAAGCTGCTCTGGGCCTTTGAATTTGTTGAACCCCCTGGAAGCGACAGTGACATTTCAGCTCACTCCGGTGCTAGTAAAGGGTTCCTCCATTGTCCCAAGGACTATGGATGTGCCATTCGTCTCCGCTCCTCGGACAAGCGAGCGACCATTATGCGAGAATTTGCCGAGGCACAAGAGGTGTTCGCTCGATTTGATTAGCTAGATTAGAGAATATGCGCTAGAATGTGACTATGACCCCTCTTCTCTTCATTGGGGGATTACCTTTTGATGGTCCAGTGAAAGCATTCACATTAGTACGTTGTATGCATCTGCCAGCAACATCGAAACCCTAAGTTTTCATTTCTTGCAAATCATCCGTAATCAATGCAATCTCTCTCTCCGTGGGTACATTTAATATAGAGTGGAATCCGTGATTGGTCTGGCTTGCTTGGTAAGATCTTACAGACTTTCCATTGCAATGCGTACATTTCTCTCAAGGTACTACGTAATTAGCCCTAGAGGTACATAATCCGGTAGCTGAATCAACAATCTGGGCCCTTTTACTCCAATGAAATACGAATTTGATCCCTGTACATCGATGCAATTCGTATTTAAGAACAACAAAACAGCAACTCCGTCGCTGCAGCCGATGCATGTCGCCCAGAGGAGCAGCGGAACAACGGAACAGCGGACCTTCCTCCGATTTCTTCACTGATTAGAGCTAAATTTGTAAGATAAAGTGATCGACTCAGCACGCCTTCGAGCTTAGTTGGAGTTTGGTTCGAGTCTAGTTGGAGTTTAGTTGGAGTTCATGGAGTCTCTGGATAGGATGCAGGGGTGGATGATTGTGAAGAAACCGTGCACGGAATAGTATTATCGGATCCCAGCAGGAAATTAATTCAATTTGGTTGTCTTTTTTTTCTTCGCTATGCAGGCCCCTGGGGTGTCTGTTTTTATTGATAATCCGGTTTCTACACATGTCACTCGATCTGTACCTGGATCATGTCCGGGATAATAGATTGTAAGAAGTACGAGTCTCCATTTTTGACATACCAAGATCCTGTACGGAATGCACCAGGTCCGCTTCTATAGAGCAAAATCCAATACTTGGACCAGGCCGAGATGCGGCTTGAATGTTGATAAGCCCTGCTTCTATATACCACGAAAGGGCAGGATGGGATTTCCTGTTCACTCGGCATCTCGGAAGCTCTCATCTCAAGTCGCCTAATCCTATCTGTCTGACTTGAGCCAATGGCGCAATAGCGCTTCCACGCTTATTATTCCCTCTTCAGGGTTTCCCGATTTCAAAGAGAAGTGGCAAAATCCACAATGACGAGATGATACACTGGTATTATGGGCGCCTAGGTATCATCCGGCTTATTTCTCATTTAATTTTCCCATTTTGTTTATGCAAGTCTCATTCTGTGCAGGAAAGCCTATGTTCCCTTGTATTCTCTTTGTACTTTTGTTATCCAGGCCAAGATATGAAACCTCAGGCATCCGAACGCCAACACAACTTGAAGCTCTTCAAATCTTCCACAATACACTCCATCGATAGAGAGAGAAATTACTTCTAAACATCCGATCGCCGTTTGGAGTCGAACTGGTCTAAATGAATATCTGACCTAAATCGTTTCCACACGGCCCGCCATGTACTCCACTTTCTCCGCCAACTTCGATACCACGATCGATGCCTCCCGTGAGAGGTCAGCCACACCCTCAGTCCCACGCCCTAAGCGCAACCAGGTGGCTCGCGCCTGTGACTGGTGTCGGCTCAATCGTGTCCGATGCGATGATAAGCAGCCATGCCAGAACTGCCAGAATCGAGGAGGGACTTGCAGCAATACAAAGACACAGGAGGCCACCTCACTCCCAGCTGCAAACCGGTAGGCAATCTCCACCCTTTCACATCGGGAGTATAAATGGTTTGCTGAGATATCAAAACAGAGAGATGCAACGATTACGAAATAAAGTTAAGGACCTTCAAGACCAGATCGAGAAACTCAAAGATAGAGCGGAAATCCAAGCACAGACGAGTTTCGCAACGCCTCCACTGTCGGATGCAACACACAGCTCATTTGACTTTGCGGAACTCACCAATACTACAGAGGGATGGCAAGGGGTCCACCAGACGGGGCAGATTCACTACGGGCCCTTGTCGTCCTCATATTTTGTCACCCGAATCACTCGCTATCTCTCCGAAGCACTCAACGAGCCATTGGAAAATGCCAAATTACAAGCATGCATGGCACGGTTTAATTACGTGACCCCTACCCATCAACCGTCTGGATGGGTTGCCAGCCCGGATAGCCAGGCGGATCAGCATCCGGACGGAAACGAAGAGGCCGAGGATCTGACCCGGTCACAAGAGGAACACTTTCTCAATTTGCTCTGGCAATCTTTTCATTGCGTTTATCCTATTCTTTCCGAACGCGAGTTTCACCAACATTATGAGTCATTATGGTCTAGTTCCACGCCTGATGGAATGTCTACACGAAAGCCATCCGCCCTGGTCGATGTGCTGTTGGCAGTGTGTATGCAGTACAGCAGCACTTTCTTTGTCAGCGGAGACAGTCAACAAGAGGATGCGGATGCAGGATGGCAGGTCAAAAACGCGAATTCAGCTAGTCGAACTTACTATCAGAGGGCCCAGAGGCTTCTGCAGGGTGACCTCGAACACCCAACCATCATGCTCGTGCAGAGTCACATCTACTCGATTGTCTACTTGTACAACACCTCCCTGCTGAATACGGCGCATATCAACTTGGGTGCCACGCTGCGAATTGCCCACGCATTGCGGTTGCATATCCGCCCGCTGGACGGAATTTCGCCCGAACAACAGGAGCTGCAGCGCCGGATCTGGTGGACGCTCTACCGGATCGACAGCCAGCTCTCGATGACCCTCGATAGGCCGCCACTCATCCAGCTGTCTCATGTCAGCTGCGGACTACCCGGAGATGATCTCGAGCATGCTCGGCTATCTGGGACAGTCCTTCTCTCGAATCATGAGGACATCAGCTGGCTCAGCTTCCATGTCCAGTGCACAAAGCTCACATTTCTTGTTCAAGGCGTACAGACAGCATTACACCGGAAATGTTCTCAGTTGTTGAACGGGGATAGGTCAAAGGATATATATGATGACCTCCCCCTCCTCGAGAATTTAGCCGAGTTTTTGGAAAGGGAGATGACAGCTATTCATAACTGGGTTCAAAATGTGCCGCAGTCGCTATGTAATCCTCGCAAAGGGGCGGGGGACCCATTCTCCACCAATCGGGACGCGTTAAATCTGTCTCCGTACAGCCCACTCTGGCTGCAGCGCCAACGCCTCCTCCTAGAGCTCCATTATCACCATCTTGTGATCTCTACCCTACGTCCCTTTATCCGTTTCCCTCCTGGGAGCTCCTCCGTGACCCCACGGACCGACGGGCACAATATAACCTGTTTGAATCATGCCATGGCAATCACAAGTATCCTAAATCAAGTACTGTCCGAAACGGATCTATTGCGCGGCTGGCCGCCCATCTTCCAGTACCAGTGGGATGCCATCCTGTGTACTCTAGGGTTTGTGCTCGCCAATGCCGTGTGTCCTCCGACTCCTTCTGCACGCAAGTCGCTGCAGACGGCGGTTCGCACACTGGACCTTGTAAGTGATCATTTCCTGGCGGCCAAAAGCGCGGCCCAGGTTGTCCGCGATGTCAGTTGCCAGGCCGATCGGCTCATCGCCAACGTCCAACAAGGTCTGACCCGACGACAAGCGCCGCGTGCTAGCCAGGCCATGTCTACCAGATCCCACAATTCCAGGCCACCGTCGAATCAGACCTCGTTCGCTACGCCCGGGCAACCCGGGGTCCAATCTAATTCGCTCAAACGCGCGTTGCCACCGACACCCATGGAGGTGTCACCCCATCAGCCCATGCCTAACTTTGAAGCGCGCATGCAGTTAATGGACATGATGCCGATTGGTTCATTACCAGAACTATCCCCTTCTATGGGAACGACAGAATCTCTCTCTGGTGTGATGCCCTCGGTAAGCTCTGCTGACATGGTCACCGGCACTGAAGCTCAGTGGCTACATGCGAGCTCGATGATACTAGACTCCTGGACTACGAACTCATGATTGGCCATGTATTTCCTTGAACTTCTCTCGTTTCTTTGGCCTTGCTGTTTTCCTTTTTCTTTTTCTTTTTTTTCATTCTGTCCGACGTAGAGTATTACCCTCCCTAACTCTAATCCATAGTCCCTAAATAGGCAGCGGGATCTGCTAGGTGGAGAGCATTAGAACAAATACAAACTGGATTTGCAGGTTAATGTATACATATTCAGTGAATTGACATATATTGTCTTTGGGGGACATTTGTAGGCCAGTTTCTATATGGTTCGCACATTGGCTCATTAGCTGGTTATGTGGAAAGCATAGACAACCATCAGCCTTTGCCATTGCTCAGAGTCACTATCCACCGCCGTTGGAGCACAACATGTCTTGAATGGATCAAGTTTACTCTTGATCGCATATAGCTAATTGTAGTTGCTACCGTAGAAGGCCTGCTTATCGTTTGGCTGTTGGCGGTCCGCCTTTCTGTATAGTTAGCTATTGACTTCCAAGTCATAAATATTTCTCGCCCTTGGCTCGCTCATATGACATCTTGAATCTGAAGTCAATGCTGTCAAGACTGGGACCAATGCAGTCCTCATTCCGCTTGCCAACGTAAGTTAGGTCGTTGAATGCCATCTCAGCGAAGATGACGCATGTATTGATATGACAGTCATTGCTGCTGTATCTACGTGGGTAGAACTGTATTCCAGATATTGCTGGTTTCAGATGACTCGGCACTTATACCAATGTTCACGAAAGTAACCCCATCCGCAGTTACGCTGTTGACCGCATCCGTAAGATGCGACTTATCATTATGGATGAGGCCCAGCTGGAGGAGACGGCCGCCATATTGCACGTTCAGTGCCAGTTGCGTCGGGTTGAGTTCGAACGTTTTTATATAATGTCGGAAATATAAGGGCGAACGGGTAAATTCCAGGGTGTAGAAGATGTTGAGTCTGTGTAGGCCTTATAGCAATGGTACCAGGAACTTCTTGGCCTCGATTGCAATAGGACCAGACGATGCCCATGGGGTAAGCAGGAACGACGCGTGTGTGATCTGTGCAGTCGCCATGCCGCCAGCCGCGGTGTATATGGGGAGATGACGGTTGCACTGGTCCACAGATACAAAGAGATGAGGTGACAGGAAGTTACTGCTCTCAAACTGGAGGACAACGCCTGTGACGGGGAAGTCGGGAAACGCCTTGACGGTCATGGCGTATAAGACGCCATATGTGCCTCTCCGGCCTCTGCTGATAGCCCAATGTAAATTCGTGTCCTTGGTGGGCGTTGTGGTTAGTCACCCCATCTTATTGATCACCTCCAAATGTGAGAGATGGTCTGCCTCAAGACCAAATGGTGAGCTCAGAGCCGAGTCATTCTTCCCTCGCGTGTAACTCCCGACGGGGCCCAGAGTGGCACATTTATAAACTTTTATCACCACACCTTGTCGGAGGGTGGCCTCGTTGATATCCGCAGCTCAAACTCATGCAGTCATCCGCACAGCTGGGCTTGTATGGCGCGGGCCAGTGTAGTTCAGAAAGTCAATGTCCTTGAGTTAATGGGTCTGAATCAATAGTGCGCCTGCACCCGTTGACTCCCGGATATAAACATACTGTATCACTAGCAAGAGAACATTTTATGCATAGCACACCATCGCACACGGTTTGAAGGACTTTGATCGAGGGCAAGAGGCATCACAGGTTGCATTACCTACGGCTGCTGTCATGATGATAGAGGAAAATGCATCGCTGCCGAATGGGGTTCATTTAACGGACCGGCGAGGGAGCTCATTGGAACTGGGTGACCTACTGGAGTACTGGCTTGGTCCACTTTGTAATGACAATTCAGATCAAGGGATTGACCTTTCCCTCCACTGACAGTCACTTGCGATCATTGGTCACAGAATCTCCATCAATGGCCTATCGTGATGAAGGGAATACCATCTGGTCAGTATTCAAACGAAAAAAAAACGAAGGGCGACAAATAGCTCCCCGTGGTAGTCACTGACCTCAACAAGCTAAGGACATACCGAAAGGATGCCACTAGCTCATAGATGTGACAGCAAATGCCGTGCCACCTCAAACGGTATTGATATCCAGCAACTCTAGGATTTTATGGAACACGTAGCCATTAGTTGCTGGAAATATCGTACTCTCTAGAATCTTTAGATTCTAGATCGGGCTTTGTAAAATGATCTGGGAAAGCGAGAAGTAGTTGGCACGTTCAGAAGCCTTCAGGTGTATCGTAATTGAGCTTCCCCCGACCGAGAAGCCCATGACAGTGACGTGCGAGGGATTACCACCAAACTTCCTCATATAGCTTTGCACCCATTGCAGCGCCAGAAGCCCACGATGCAGTCCAGCATCTGATACTACACCTGTCAACTGGAATCTCTCACTTGAAAGCTTCCAAATACTTCCAGTAGGTGAATGCCAGTCCTGAGTAAACCACCGAAAGAGAAGGGGGCGAGGTGCATGGAAAAAAGGGAGACGACACATTCGATAATTAACTCACACATAGATTATGACGAGAAACCCATTTCCTTGCTAGCTGTAATCGACCTTGAGGGATCCTGGTCTGACTTGGACCCGGAGACAAAAGCTCCCTCCTGGAAACACACCACCATGGGCGCACCGTGCTTGAGCTTTTCTTTTCTGCCTTGATGTTTGGCAACCACCTCGTCTGGGACTCACAAATCGAGGAACAAGCAGTCTTCAGACTCTGGTGGCGTTTGGTCTGCGACGGGCCGCAGTTCGGTGCAGCCATCTTGTCAATAAACCTGGTCGTACGCGCGGCGCTGCAATCAAAATGAGAGCCCGGAGTTAGGGCACTGACAAATCGTCCCTGCACATTGAATTAACAGGCCCGAAACTGAAGACCAGATATCACCACATCCTTTGCCATTGACAATTAATCCCGTGGCTGCGATTGGGTGTGGGGATGAGCAGCGTCAGCCACCATGGGGCCAGCGGGTGTTCGGCATAGCAGATATTGGTGAATTTGTAATGGAGACCGGTTGACGAGGGATATCATTGACATAATCATCAGAGTGATTTCTAAGCGTTTTATTCGGCTCACGTGTGCTAATCTCATATTGAAATTAATGGCTTGATGCTGCTGATAGCCCAGGTCCACATTTGGCAAATCAGCTGCTACGGCAATCCTCGATGCGACTATTAACAGATAGGCCAAATAAATGATAGGATTGGGCATTGGTTATGGACAATGAGCATATGGAGTTTTCAAGAGTCTCTTGTATTGCGATACTTGTTTTTTTTTCTTTCTTTTTTCAGTCTGCTACAGTTCGGTATATGCAGCAATGCAGCAGCATATTGTTATCCAGAGCCAAAGTAGAACCAATACCACGAGTGCCATATAAATTCCGCTTGCCAAGTAATCTATCCTGCCCAGGTCCACGGGCGCTCCAAGGTTGTGTCCACGGATAGCTTATCATCTTCCATGGTTGCACCTTAAAAATCTTGGATACAATTAGAGATTCTAGAGCTCATCCATGGATGCATGTGGACCCACTTGACGATCTTTAGCAATAGATTTGGTGAGCTCGGGAACTCCCGTTCGGAGTCCAAAAGGAGATTCGGAGTTGGTCAGCCAAATAGTAAGCTGTGGTTGGTCAGATATCAACCTGACAAAGATGAATGTCCCAAAGGAGTAATGGATTGTTACCAAAATCTCTCCTTCTAGCCCTACTCGTATTTAAATAACTAGGCATGGTCAAGCAATATGGACATCAAGACTTTCGCTGTCCCTAAGCGGATATTGACACTTCTGCTTTCCATTTTCGGTCTATTGCAACTCCATTGGGTAAACACCCAGATAGCCTCTGAAGAGCTGACTAAGTGCCGCTCGGTTCGCTTCCCACCATGAGTATAGACGATAATTCGCCAAGTGAGAGCGTGCTCGGAAGTCAAACCCCAGGTCAGGTAGAGGAGTCAGTCCCGATCTCCGATCGGGATGCCGAGAAGGATGCAGTTCCGGGGCGGGGAATCACGGGCTTCCGCTGGCTGCTCGTCTGCATTGCAGTTTTCTCAGCCAATCTGCTCTATGGCTTGGACAATACCATTGTAGCAGACATCCAGGGTCCCATTGCGGGTGACTTCAACGAGTACACGCGGCTGGGCTGGCTCGGGGTGGGCTTTACCTTAGGATCGGTGGTGTTTATTCTTCCCCTGGGCAAAGCTTACGCCATTTTCGATACGAAATGGCTCTTCCTTGGCTGTTTGACCATGTTTGCGGCCGGAAGTGCCCTCTGCGGCGCAGCCCCCAGTATGAATGCCATCATTGTCGGTCGCGTGTGGGCGGGAGCCGGTGGGGCGGGCATGTACCTAGGGTAAGTTGTATCATGAAAGGCAAAAACAGAGAGAGAAAAGACTAACCCAGACAATCTAGTAATCTGAATCTGATCACCATTCTGACAACTCCCACGGAGCAACCCGTGTATGTGGGGCTAGTTGGATTGATCTATGGCACTGGCTGTATTCTGGGTCCCATCATTGGTGGTGCTTTTTCTGATAGTTCAGCCACCTGGCGATGGGTATGTGGTATCCATTTCTCAATTCTCTGGCAGAGTGTACTGACCGCAGTGGACAGTCATTTTACCTCAATTTGGTCATTTTTGGAGTCATGTCACCCATCTATGTATTCCTTCTGCCCTCCTTGCCCCGCCCAGCAGGTGAAGGCCGCAGTTTTATTAAGAAGCTTGTGGAGCTGGACTGGGTGGGCACGGTCCTGTCTGCGGGGATGCATATCTCCATTATCCTGTTCATTGTATTTGGTGGCGTCGAATGGTCCTGGACGGATGGGCGGAATATCGCGCTGTACGTGGTCTCCGCAGTCTGCACCATTGCCTTCGTTCTCAGCCAGTACTACTGTGTGGGGACCAACAAAGAGAACCGACTGTTCCCCGGAGAATTCTTGCGGGACCCCACAATGATCCTACTCTATGTCATCATGGCCTGTGGCGGTGCTGCCCTCTTCGTGGCGGTTTATTACATCCCGCTATACTTTCAGTTTGTCCACGGCGACTCCGGCATCATGTCGGCAGTGCGGCTGCTGCCATTTGTCTGCTTCTACGTGGCTACCATTTTGCTGTGCGGATATGTCATGCCCAAAACCGGCTTCTTTATCCTCTGGTATCTGCTGAGCGGCATTTTCATGCTCATTGGATCCGTGTTGATGTACACTGTGAAATTAGATACCAGTGCTGCCAAAGTCTACGGGTACTCTATTCTGATGGGACTGGGTATGACCACCACGCAGGCCGCCTACGCAGTGGGCCCGACCATTGTGACTCCCGACCGGGTGGCCGAGTGTCTCCAGTTCATGAATATTGGCCAGGGCCAGAGTCAGCTGCTGGGATTGGCCATCGCAAGTGCCATTTTCCAGTCTAGGACCCTCAACGGTCTCACTGCCCTGCTGGGGAATAAGGGCTACTCCAACGTGGACATCCAAGGTGCTGTCGCCGGCGCTCAGAGCACCCTGATGGAGCGGCTGCCCCCGGGCTTAAAGGAGCAAGCACTGGAGGTGATTGTGAGTTCGATCAGTGATGTCTATGTAATGGCAATTTCGGCAGGGGCTCTCTATGTGGTTGCATCTTGCCTCCTGCCTCGCCGTCGGTTCTAGACTCATTTCGGGGAGGAGGGGTAGCAATGGCGTCTGATAATGGTGATAATTCTTTCTCCCTTCTTTCTCGAGCACAAGGGGAGCCTCCGGGTGTGTCCTTCGCTTATTTTGTTTATAAATCATAATATAACTAGCTGCTAGAATCAAAATACATTTTTTAAGACCTTGAATAGAATAGAGAAATTTGAACGTTGCTAATACGGCAGATGAGCTTCTATCTAGCCGAGAGGGTTGTCACCTTCATTGAACCCAATGTACCAATTTGGCAGTCTCCGGAACTCCGATTAATTTCCGATCTATCACAGGCCCCTTGTTCTTAATCATGAGATTACCGAACGAGTGGCCACCACTGGGAAGGGCGAGACTCTTCGGAAAGAAAAGGATCAGTGGGGGCACGACGGTATCTCTCCTTTCCCTAAATTCTAAAGACGTTGTCCTCTGATACGGCTGCATACTAAAGCTCTGAACAGGTAGCTGCGTGGTATGAGAAAAGGGATTTTCCTAGATATGGGAGATGGAGTAGTTGAACATTTAGCGATCCAGTATACGAGTAAGTTTATCTACCGCGTCGTGGCGCTTTGATGAATCTTCGAGAAGGAGTCATTTGTCCGGAGGTCGGGAGCACATGTGACATGAATACACTGACACTAGTAAAGAAGATCGCGCCACTGCATTGCAAAGCTGGGAGGTACTTTCCTGGTCATGTATACGGCTCCTGTCCGGGAGATCATCCAATCACCGATTCAGGGCCTTGATGTGATGGGGGAAGTTGTGGATGTCCAGTAGGCGTTGTGTCTCATGCCGATTTCCCTACCTGCTGACAAAGATGGTGGTATTGAGGTGCTAGCGTGTGAGTGGGACTTCCTCAGAACAGTGCAGCAGTGTGGTATAGAATCTGTTTTGTTTGGTCGGATCTTCGTCTCTGGCGGGATGATCTACTTTTACAAAGGCTATAGTTGAGGGAAGTGTGCGGGTCCGTGCTAAAATCACCATGCAGTAAGTATTAGAGGACATATGAGGGATAAATTCCGTTCTACTTGTCATGTTGGCAGTCTGTGCATAAGCGATAGCTTAAAAAGAGCGGTAGCTTGAGTCTTTACTTCTCATTTGTGTTATAGTTGGCGAAGTATGTTTCATCTTCCCTTGTATTTGGATTGGATACTCGCCGTTCCCTCCCAGTTGCCCTAACTGTCGCACACGCGATCTTCTCTGCTAGTGCATCTTCTTTAGGTTTAGGCATATATTATTTGAAGAGGCATGCATAACATATTTACAAGGGGGGGCGAAGATTTACAAAGCGTGGACCGGGGTTGTTCTGGTGGTAGGAACGGTAAGGCCAAAACATCAATCACACGCAGGGCCCAAACTCCAATGATTCGAGCCTTAAGAATCCACCGCTGTCATAGTCGCCCGAAGGAGTCTCGGAGGAGTATCTGCTCATTCGGAAGCCCCTAAAGAAGGGCTAGCCTAAGAAGAATAAGCGCCTATAAATGAATTTCACTAGTTGGCAAGCGCACACACCTGGGCAGGCATACCTAGGTAGCCTCTAGGTAGGCATCCAGATAGATTCCGTAAGCAAGCTCCATCGAAACCATGTGTATCACAAATATGTAACCCCTCTCTCTCTTAATTTCTCATAGGAGTGTTCCGTTAACTCCTGCAGGACTCAATCATCATGGCTAATTCGCGTACAAAGGTCCTGAACCGGTATCCAATCAGGATTAAGGATGATCAATATATGCAAGCAGGAAAACTGATGGTTATTCTGAGACAGACCACATGATTAACGCATGATTGCCAGAGAGACGTATTTGAAGGGACAAAGCCCATCAAGTGCTGGTCCGCCTAACGATCAGTACTACAAGTGCTCCCAATGGCAATCATGGCAAAGATAGATGTGCACCATCATTTCTACCCCCCGGCCATGCGTCAAGGTTGGTCTTATACGAAAATGTGAGAACCCGATTGGTTAACCTTATTTAGCCCTGGATCGCGCGGGAGGTGATCCTTCGGGCTGGTACATCCCCCGTGGACGCTGGAGCTAGATCAGGACATCTCACGGCGTATGAAGGTAACCACCACCATTCTCTCTGTCACTGCACCGGGGCCAGCAATAGAGTCCGATGCTGCTAAAGCTGCCGCCCTCGCCCGTAACTGCAATGAGTCTGCCGCCGCCATCCGGGACGCTCAGCCACACCAGTATGGCTTTTTCGCATCGGTGCCGTCCCTGTTCGATACGGCGGCTGTCTTAGAGGAAATCGATTACGCCTACTCCACTCTCCATGCTGACGGAATCACTCTATTTACCCGTTACGGCAAAGGTCCCCATTACCTGGGCCATGCAGCTTTTCGACCCATCTGGGCCGATCTCAGTCGCCGCGGCGCCGTAGTCTTCATACACCCGACACATCCGGTCGATACCCAGCTCGTTAACCACTGGCTACCACAGCCAATGTTTGACTATCCACACGAGACTGGCCGGGCCGCCATGGATCTGCTAACCAGTGGCATTTTGCAAGACTACCCCGGATGCAAAATCATCCTCTCCCACGCGGGCGGGACCTTGCCGTATCTCATTCACCGGGCGGCTACTATGCTTCCCTTGATGCCACACACACTCGGTCTGTCCACGGAACAGCTGGTGGAGGCTGCCCAAACCTTCTACTTCGACACGGCCATCTCATCAAACCCGGTCACGTTGAAAGCGCTCTTCGAGTTCGCTGCGCCCGGCCATGTGCTTTTTGGCAGTGACTTCCCCAATGCCCCGCCCGATGCGATCCATCGCTTCACCAACTTTCTAGAGGCCTATGACCTGTCGGAGGAGACCAAGCGACAGGTTGATAGTGGGGCGGCATTGGAATTGTTTCCGAGACTCAAGGAGACCCCTGATAGAGCGAGGCTCTGAAATGTGGCGGGATCCATACTGGCTGTACGTAAGAAGCCATTAGAAGAACTTTGGAGCTAGTACCTGAGAAAGATATCGCTAATGATCTGATATTCATTTATCGTAAAATGGATTCGGCCACATAGAGCGATCTATCTGTATCTGTGAATTTTCAATTGGAAACTTTTTACCCTCTGTCAGAACAGTATTAATTTCTCACTCCCAACAATCTTCATCATGTTCCATCTATAGCACCCAAATCATCCAACTTGTCATTTCTCTGGATGACGTAGTCATTCTTCTTCCCCAGATGACCATGAACTTCATTATCCAGATAGACGGCACTGGAACTCCGGGTCTGTTTGCTCATGTCATCAGATTACCTTAGATCCCTGAAGAGATCAGCTATTTGGGGAATAGCAGCCCTCTTTGGGATATCATATCTTTACCCTTTCATAACTGATATCACCGACTTTCATGTACTCTCTGACCAACTCTGCGGGAATTAGGGCGACTTCCTCCATTGGGGAATTCTTAGCCCAGGTAAGCACTCCTTTGGGTAACTGATATTCCATCGATTGCGACCAATCCCAAGTACTTGGACATCGACCCCTCGCTTTGTCGATCTATAAGTCAGCATACCCCACTAGGTACTTCGCTATCATCTCGATGATTGAAGTTCAACTGCATGATACAGCTTCGATAGATCCTATTAAATATGGAACCCATAATCTTGCTACTCCTGATCTTGTTTCCAACCATCGTACTTGTACGATGTGCCTTCACCTACGGCCATCGGACTAGTACTATGCCCCCCCGGTGAGTGTTTGTCTACGAAGTTGAGGGATAGTGAGTTACTCATATGCTATAGGTCCCCCTACTCTACCCTTCATTGGAAATATTCACCAGATCACCAAGAAGTACACCCATATCAAGTACGTTTGCTTTCCTTCCCTTTGCAACAGATAGGAAATGCTCACCTCCCATGTCCTGTGGCGTCCAGGTTCACTGAATGGGCCGCTCAGTATGGCGGGTTGTACATGCTCAAGATCGGAAATGGCAACATGGCTGTCATCAGCGATCGTCGACTTGTGAAAGAAGTTCTCGATCGCAAGAGTGGCATCTACAGCCATCGACCTCATTCCTATGTATCGCATGATCTCATCACCAAGGGCAATCACCTACTCGTAATGCATTACGGTGACCAGTGGCGCACCTTCCGGAGACTGGTTCACCAGCACCTGATGGAGTCCATGGTGGAAAGCCAGCACACTAAGATAGTCAACGCCGAAGCCATACAGCTAGTGCGAGACTATATGGTCGATCCGGAGCACCATATGGCCCATCCCAAGCGGTACAGTAACAGTATCACGAACTCTATTGGTAGGTCACCCAAATTGATCACCCTTGAAAATATCCTAAAGTCACATCATAGTATTTGGAATCCGCACGGCCAACCGAGAGGGATCCAACATGCGGCGACTTTACAAACTCATGGAAGAATGGTCAGAGGTGATGGAAACTGGCGCAACACCCCCAGTAGACCTGTTCCCTTGGATGAAACTGCTACCACAGTGGCTATTTAACAACTACGTCACTCGGGCCAAGGCCATTGGCGTACAGATGGAGACTCTCTACGTCGACATTCTGAAAAAGGTCATCAAGCGGCGGGAAGATGGTCAAAACAAAGGCACCTTCATGGACAAGGTGTTAGATGGCCAGGAGAAGCATAATCTACCCTGGCACCAACTGGCCTTCATCGGTGGTGTTCTGATGGAAGGCGGCTCAGACACTAGCTCCAGTCTCACCCTGGCGATCGTGCAAGCGTTGATCCAAAACCCCGATGTCCAGCGAAAGGCACATGCTGAGATTGATGCCGTGGTAGGCCACAATCGGTCGCCTGTTTGGTCGGACTTCGAACAACTTCCTTACATCAACATGATTGTCAAGGAAGGTCACCGGTGGAGGCCGATACTTCCACTCTGCTTTCCACATGCACTTGGAGAAGGTAAGGCTGTTTGTTTCTCTCGTTCTTTTCATTATTTGTTTCAGGCAATGAAAGCTTTCTAACCTCTATACCCCTAAAGACGACTGGGTCGACGGTAAATTCCTCCCCAAAGGCACAATAGTCATGGTCAACACTTGGGGAATGCACATGGATCCGTCCCAACCTGATGATCCAGCTGCTTTCATTCCTGAGCGCTTTGCGCAGCATCCTCAGCTGGCTCCTGACTATGTCCCCGGGACATGGGAGCGTCGTGACCACTACGGCTACGGGGTTGGGCGCCGGATCTGTCCTGGCATCCATCTGGCTGAGCGCAATATGTTCTTGGCAATTGCCAAGCTGCTGTGGGCATTTGAGTTCCAGCCAGCAGAGGGCCCCATGGATAGTGATCCGGTGAATGGATACCATAACGGCTTCCTTTACTGTGCCAAGGACTACCCTTGTCGGCCGGTAGTACGTAATGAGATAATCCGAGCTACAATTGAGAAGGAATACGCCACTGCGACTGCGGATGTGTTTTCCCGGTTTACTGAGGGATAGTTCGGGGCTAGGACAGCCGGAATCAAATCCTTGAAAGAGGGAGGGAGCTGTGGTGAGGGAGGAGGACAATTCAAAGCGTTTTGTTGGCTCTCTGGCTTCGACCGCTTTTTTATTCACTGTTTTATTCAAACGCTCTCTAACTTCGTTCCGGCTTTGTATAGCTTTTGGCGGTGAATTATACACTGTTTCTGTGTCTCAACATCAATGGCGTAGTTCTCTCTGGAATTGCAGCAACGTCGATCCACATATGCTCGATCCATATAGGCAATATTTGGATAGCCAATTTGGGATCATCCTTGATAGGGATAGCTTTAGGGGTTTACTAGGCACATCTGAAATGAATTCTTTCCAATTCGCAATTGTGAAATCAAGGGCTTGCATCCTTCCCCCGACCTCTTTGCTGAAAGGCTGAGCCTCCCGCTCCTGTGACCTTTTTTCTGACCTGTGCTGATAGTGCTCGAATCGAAAAATATGTCGAGGACAAATTTGCGCTGTTTGACTACGTCCCCATAATACTCTCTACAAGAACCATATCTGGGATGCTTGAATAGTTGACAGTAGATTTACCCAATCAACTGCTTCTAAGCCGAATGAGTCTCAGTGTGGAGGCGGAGATTGAGATATACTGGGACAAAGTGTTACAGTCATCAGCTAAATAGAATCTTTGATTTAGACAACTACATTGAATACAAAATTGAAAGATGACAAGGATATCCCAAACAGAAGGCCGTTGCGCCAATAGAGCAATATTGTTGGTAGGGAGCAGATTTGACAACATGGTAGGAACTATCGTATGACTGAATAGAACAAAGCCCTAAGTTCACTGCGGCTAAGCGATCAAGATGACCCGACTAGAGGGAACTAGCCAATTCCACTTAGGTGCTCGCAACCAGCACCGCAGGCTCACCATCAGAGATAGAGACGCAGATTTTTCCGTCTCCATCGGCGGTGATTGTCCCTTCTCCAAATGTGTTCTTCCACGTCCCATTGGGCTTCTTAGAATCGAAGCAGATCTCAGCATCAGACCCAGATCCACCATTGGACGTGACGACAATGAGGTCTCCACCCGCTCTGCTCCACGCATATGCCGAATCCGCGACGTGCAGATGGACATGGTCATTATCAGCGAGGCCACCAGCAGCCTTCCTAGCCGCAGAGAGCAGGGATATGGCCTTATACAAGTCCGCGTCGGTGCTGAATTTGCTGCGCCATAGGTCCTCGCGGTTCGCGGGGTCGTTGCCACCCGCGTAGCCCTGTTCTGTGCCGTAGTAGACGATGGGAATGCCTCGGGCGAGAATCACGTAGGCGAGTGCGTTTTTCAGAAGTGACTTGTCGTTCTTAACGCTCAGCCATCGTGCATTGTCATGATTGTCTAGGAACGTGCCCAGGGTGCTGGGATCAGGGAAAGCGGTGTCGATCTTATCATGCATGTCAACTATGTCCTGAGAAGAGCCCTTTTGCTGGTAGAAATTGTTCATGGGATAGTAGACTGCGTAGTTGAGCAGGCCATCCATGCTCTTTGCGTATCCGCCAAGGTAGTCTGGGTCACCGTCCCAGACTTCGCCGATGGTGTAAACCCCGGCAGCGGAAGAGAAGGCCGACCAGAAGTCCTTCTCGACGTGCTTGACGGTGTCGATGCGCAGGCCGTCGAAGCCGTATTCCGTGACGAGCCATTTGACCCATTTCTGGAAGAGAGCCCGAATCTCTTCACTCTGTGTGTTCACATCAGGTAGGTCTGATGCGATACGGCAGTTTTCAATACTATCCTGGCTGTCGTAGTCGATTTTGCAGTCGGAATGGTAGGAGCTCTCCTGGTTCAATGGCTCCGGCTTGTTGTCGCTGATGGGGCCTCCCATGTGGTTCGCAACTACGTCTGCCATGACATAGATTCCCTATATTTGAAGCCGGTCAGTACCTTTCAACATGGACCGGAGGAAATGCTATGGGTTGTACTTACGTTCTTATGAGCAGCGTCAACTAGACTTTTGAGATCATCAGCGGTGCCATAGTTCTCATTGATGCTGTAGAGATCCTGTGCCCAATATCCATGGTATCCACCCGGCGCATCTATAAGAATGGGAACGCGATCAGATAAGTTGCGTCATCGAGAATAGAGCTGCCTGCGGAACTATTCAAACTCACTAGCGATAACAGGGGTGATCCAGATTGCATCAAAGCCCATTCCCTTGATATAGTCAAGTTTGGACTCTAATCCTTGGAAAGTTCCACCACAGTATTTTCCAAGGTCGCCGCAAGCATCTCCACCTGTATCATCGCTTCCACGGGCAATGCGATCAGTCAGGGCAAAGTAAATATTGCGGGACTTCCATGCCTTCACATCCGCCGCTGATACAGTGCATACCAGGGGGAGTAGAAGGGCTGTTAGGGTGTGGGACAGCTTCATGATTGTGGCAAAAGTGATACCTCGAATTGCTGAAGACTCTAGTAGGCTTGCGCTGAATGCTTTGAGTGCGATACCGATCGGAGAGGCTCCCCTCCTTTTATATCGAGATCCCCATGATATTCTTTCTTCATAGTCGGACTCCGGGGTTTGCCATTACTTGCCATGGCCCCTGGCACGGGTTGCCAATCCTTCACAAATGTGTTTTCCCTCCAATATATTGCATCTATCGTGACAATCTCTCCTCATACAGTTAGCTGGCCGATAATAGGCCGACAGTTCCCCCCCGGAGAAAAGCCGGGGCAGTGTTCAGACCCGCGGCCCCTGGGACTCGGGGGTGGGGGATCTGCACACAGGTTGGAGTTAAAATGGTTAGTCCAACGTCAATCATACTCCCAATACAGCATTAAGTGATGATATTAGTCTATTGTCGGCCCGAGAGGCTGTGATGTAACTTGGAGGTGTTTCATTTAAGTTATATGTAGATTAACAAAAATCTGACCATCTGATAAAAGTATACAACGTAGCGATTTGGGGGAATTGGTATACCCTGCCCTGAGTTATCGCCTCCCCAATTAATAGTCCCAATTAATAGTCTACAATATATTTTGCCTACCTTATTTCTTCTGGATTATATTGTGATGCTACTCCGTACCTTTTGATCCATAAAAAAGTCTATATAACCTGATTCCTACACTGACATACCCTATCAAATTAACTAGTTGCTACGCCTTTCCTGGTCCCCGTCCCCGTCTACGACTGTAGTGATTTCCTCCCTCTAACGGAGTAGTTGGCGCTGTCGACGATAGACATCCACTGGATAGAGCTGCTGAGTCAGAACTACCGCGTTACCTAGGTACCTAGTCTGAATATGGCGGGTAATGCACGACAAACACGGACAACCAATTACGATGCAACTTGACTAGAACTGCAGATCTCTAGTGCAAAAGGAATCTGGTACTTGCAAGATTAAGGCTCCGCCCGTGGCTTGCGGGGAACTGCGACCAGTCCTTGATGAAAGATAATGCCTTGTCTTGGTGCTTTTGCTTCTGAAGATTGTGCAGAGTATCCCATCGCTCAACGTGGTTACGTGGGATAACCTGCAGGGTTTCTTCGTACGCCTTGCATGGAAGCAGCCGGTAACTGTATATCAAATGAGGAAATCTTATTGTCATATCACTCTACTGATCTTGGCCACGAGGCCTTCCAATTCCTCGACATCCGCATCAATCGGGGTACAGGTTACAGCGCTCAAAAGTAGAGCCTGGAGTGGTGGACTTCAAATTGCTGAGTCAGACAGTGAGATGCCCGAGTCAAAAGCCGGAAATCGAGAGCATAGTGATATCACTTGCATTTGACGGTCTCGGTGGAAAAAAATCCACTGTATTTCTAGGTAAGATATAGCAAGGCACTGGTGGACGAAATATCAAGGCCGAGAGGTGCCCTGAAGCTACGACATAATGTAGACGTAATAGAAAGGTTCAAGGCAAGATATGCAACTAAATATATATATAACTCTAGTTTTGTCATTTCTGATTTGTCTCCCTGTGAGCTCACCTTTCCCTCTTAGTTTCCCATAGACCGCGTTTAGAAGTTAAGTCATTGCGAAGTGGCATGCTCGAGTACCTGAGCCCTCACCCAGTTCGAGAGCCTAGTCTGAGCACTCCCATATCTATAAGGTTAACCACAACTCGTCCCTCCGGCGTGACAAGGAAGCAACATGCGACAATATCCGTGGTAAGTATATTTTACCTGCAGAAACAGCTGAAAAAGGAGGGAGATCGTCAAACAGGAGGTATTGCCCGGTGTCCCCGTTATGAGAATTATGATATATTGGCTTGCTACTTAGATACAAAGATTATTACACTGACACTTCATTTGAGATGCCATCAAACTCGAGTCCATCCTCTTGATCAGTGCGTTTGATCGTCATCAGATGCTCCCAATGCTCGGGATACTTCTCACTTGCCCATTTCTCCACCTCGTCTTTCCAGTATTGGTATGGGATGGCGTTGTAGAACAACCCGATACTAGGACCCGTGTTAGCCATGATAGCACAATGGGAGAGGGTATGTACTCACGTGTTGCTGGTGGGGGTGATCCCAATTTCGGCTTCCATATTGTTGATAGCCTCAACGGCCAGATCAAACTCGCACTGCGCTGCCAAGGCCTCCATATACGCAGAGTAGAGCGGGCGGTTCGCAGTGATCTCCAGCTTCTTGACCTTACCCATCATCTTTATAGCCTCCTGGGCACCATTGTGATGCTTCTCGCAGACCTTGAAGAAAATAGTGATAGTTTTGTGACAAGGGCCTTCCTCCGACTGAAGAATCTGTCGGAAGATTTCCATGCTCTTTTCGGGCATATCGCATGCGGCATACGCCATCATCAGACCATTGAGGATTCTGGTGTTGAGATCCACTTCAAGATCCAGCTTCAGCATGTTGTGCACAAGCTCCAGATTAGTCGCATCTGCCGTGCGAGCGAGGCCCTGGAAACAGCGTGCATAAGTGTCTGCCCTAGGGCGCCGACTGGCTTCGTCGGCTTGACGCATATGTCCAAATACCAATACGGCAAGATCGCTGCGTTTCCGGTTGAA